AAACTAATTAGATAAGTACTAATTAAAAATTGTAACCAAAAATTAAAAAAAAATAAATTTGTCAATAAAATTAAAATATTTCAATTCATTAACGGTTTGGTATAAAAGCTATCTTAAATAGTTTTTTTAATTTACTATCAGTTTTGATTCTAATAATTATCCGTTAGTCTCAAATCGCTAAATAAAAAGTTTTATCAAACACCAATGTATAGCGGTTTTGAAATAAATGAATTTACCAAATACTTATTTTTAGCAGTTTTAACAAAATCACTAACAATTACCTTCAAATCACTATAGTCAGCGACCCTAAGTTGTGGAATTTTATTCTCTCTTCCATTTCTTTTTTTTTTTCAAATAATAATAAATCTTTTTTGTTTTATTATTATTATTGTTATTATTATTTTATGTTGGGAATGAAACTTGAATTGTATTATGCTAAACTAGTGTAAGATATCCTAACAAGGGAAAGATGTCCACTAAGGCATAAGGAGATTCTCATTCTTTTATCTTCATTGGATGCTGAGTTGCTGATTAGGTTCAACCTAAAGTATATAGTAAATTTTTTTTCTTTTTGAATGAGTTATAATTTGGGAAAGGGATTCGAATCCCAACCATAAAATTGAAGAATTGTACCTTGTAAAAATATATAATTATTAAATTACAAAACCTAGGTGCTCAAATATATAGTAAATTAGTAGCACAGTTCTTGGAAACTCTTGAAGGTCCTGGAAATTGAAAAGTTCGGTCCCTTCGTGGGCTTTTGATCCGGCGACATCCGGCTCGTTTCCACCGTTTGTTTTTCATTTTTTCTCTCTTTTTCTCTTCCTTGACTTCTTCTTATAACAGCATATTTAGGTTAGAAGGGAATGAAAAGAGAAAAAAAAATTTTTTATTTGATTACTTAAAAAATTAAAGGAAAAGAGATAGAAAAAAATTTCTTTTATTTTTTTGTTTTATTTTTATTAATGACATGGAATGATGGAAATGCTTTGCTGCAACAAATGATGACATTAATTAAAATAGGTCCCCCCGTTGGCATTTTGTGTAAACATATTGGGTTTGCATGACGTAATCAAGATTATTATTACTCAATTTATAATTAAATGAGTTAAAATGTTATTAACTTAATTAATTAAGTAACGAGTCTCCAACAACCCTCCGTGCTTACATGGCTGCTACCAAGGTTTTGTTAGGTATCTAGTGGAACATATCGCAATTTAAAATTATATTAGCAACGAACTTATTGTTTTAAATGAAAGATACTTAATTTTTCATTAAGTAAAATTTTAAATTTAAATTTTATAAATAAAAAAATATAATTTTTTTTATAAAATTTAATACGATTTGATTCTGAATTAATTATAATTTACTGTAACTTTCATATTTTGAAAAATTAGTAAAAAACAATTTAAAATTATGTTTACATAAAATCTTTACTAATTATTTAAAAAATAATAATAAATTAATAAAATTGAGTCGTGCATGCTTATTTCTAAAAACTTAAACCACATTAAAACTACATGAGGACACCTTCGTGACTAAAGAAAAGTCTTTTAATTATCTACAAAATTAAATTCTCTTTTCTTATATATTTATGATCAAATGTGTTCAAATTAAATTTTACAAACCTTAAAATTGATTTCACTTTGAAGTAATTTTAATGATACACCCCGCAGTCAACATCACATATTAAAGGAAATAAATTCCTTGGAATGGTCTCAAAGTCAAACTTGTATTTCTCTTTGAATACGTTCGTGAACACAACGTCAAAACAAAGGACATATCAAAGTGGTATTAGTCTACGAAAAATATTATATTCAAGATGAAAAGTAAAAATTAGAATATTTTGTATTTTAAGCGTAAAATTTATTTCTTTTTATAGTATAACATAGAATTAGTTACTTAATAATATAAAATTTTAAGTTTTAATTTAAATTTAAATTTAATAGGTACTAATTTAATTAAATTTTTATTAATATTATTAATATTAATTTTTTTTATAAAATTATTTAAATATATTTAATAAATTTTTTTACCCGTTTAATTTAAGTGATGCTTGTTTCAAATGTTGAAAATCAATTATCAAGTATTAATCCTAATTAAATAATGAATTTGTTTAATTTGTATCTTAAGGCACATTAAATATATATTTTTATCATAAATTTATATTAAAAAATAAAAATTAATTTTTAATTTATTAATTATTTAATTAAATTTATTTGATACTAAAATTAATATCAATTTTTAAATTTTTTTATATATATTTATAATAAAAAGATACAATAAATATACATTTATTTTGTAGGCCAAAGCCCCTATTTGCACATTCCATTTATTTTTTTTTTCACGGTCAACACTTTGGTCAATATTTTTAAGAATTTTTCCTCCTTATTCACACCCTCATTCCATTTTTTTTTTTTTGCGGTCAACACTTTCCAGAATTTTTCCTCCTTGTTCACACCCTCCACTTTTCAAAACCCGTGAAAAACTCAATATTTTAATGGGCCATTACGGTACCGTTAAAAAAATATTACGTAGCACCCAAAAATTGACGTAACACTATGTAACGTTAATAATCCAATGTGGATCTTTTTTTTTTTTTATAACGTGGTTTATTTTTTACGGATGTGAACGCCACGTATACAGTGAAAATAATAAAAAATTATAATATTACCAAACAGTTACATAAATGGCATTTTTTCATTTTTTTCTTTCCCCCCTCATCCTCTGCATCATCTTCACCATCCTCCATCTTCACCATCCTCTTCTCAATGGGTTCATCGCGTGGAACCCAGTTCTAGGTTCCTCACGCAAGAGCCCAGATCTGGGTTCTTCGCATGGAACCTAGTTCCAACCTTTTTTTTTTTTTGATTTTTTTATTTTAAATGTATTTATCTTAGCTTCTGATTTTATGCAAAGCAATTTGGAATAATTTTTTTGTTGGAAAGGTAAGTTTTTTTGCTTGGAGATTGTTTCTGAATAGGTTGCCAATTTGAGTTTTTTTCGTTTTTTGTGGGAAAGGAATAGAAGATGCCTATCATGTTTTGATGCAGTATTCATTTACTTATAAATATTGTGTGGGTGAAAATCTTAGCTTGATAGGTATTCATGTGAAATTAGGTTCCACGAAGAACTTAGAACCTGGGTTTCGCAAGGAACCTAGGGGATGAGGACGAGGATGGTGAAGATGATGCTGGGAAAGAAGAAAATGAAGAAATTAAAATTAATGATGATTTAATTATAACACATATAAAAAAAGGTCCAACATTGGATTAATAAATGTGACATAAAGTTCTGGGTTTCTGGTTCCATGAGGAACCCAGGAGGATGAAGAGGAAGATGGTAAAAATGATGCAGGAAAGAAGAAAATGAAAAAATTAAAATTAATTATGGTTTAATTATGCCATATCATAAAAAAAAAAGTCCACATTGGATTATGTTATTGTTTAATGTCACGTATTATAATTTTTAACGGTTATTAACGGTGCCGTAACGGCCCGTTAAAATATTAGGTTTTTTACAGGTTTTGAAAAGTGGAGGATGTGAATCGGGAGGAAAATTTTTGAAAAGTGTTGATCACGGAAAAAAAATAAATGAAAGGTGTAAATAGAGGCTTTGGCGTATTTTGTACTCTTAAAATACAAAATTAACAATTTAAATAATTTAAATTCTACATAACATTAATTATTCATTATTAATTATTAATTGTATCAAAATAATTACTCCAAATAACCCTTTGTTAAGAATATTCTAACTTTCATATTTCATTAGGATGGAGTAGTTTCCTCGAATGGAAATCGTAATCAAGTGCGTCAAGTAATCATGTGGGCCATCGGTGGTAAGTAGATCCAGTACCGTTGATTTATTGATAACTTTCTGCTAATTATGCACCACCATTGGATTAGTATCTTCGTAACTCTTGCTGTTACTGACAAATTGTCTATATATGCATAACAGAGAGTTTAACTGCAGAATCAACAACAAAGGAAATGGCGACGAAACCGGCATTAATCAAAGTGGCGGCTCTATGCGGCTCCCTCCGAAAAGCCTCCTTTAACAGAGGCCTCGTTCGTTCCGGTACGGTGATTCTGTTTCTCCAATTATATATATATATATTTTTTAATAGTTTTTGTTCTTTGATTCTTAATTTTTTGAAGTTAAATTTTCGCCGCAGCAATCCAGTTAACGGAGGAGTCGGAGTCGTTGAAGGGCATTGAAATAGAGGAAATTGACATTTCGTCGCTACCAATGTTAAACACCGACCTGGAAGGGGCCGATGGGATGGCGTTTCCGCCGGTGGTTGAAGATTTCCGGAGCAAAATTTTGGTAGCTGATAGCATCCTTTTTGCTTCGCCGGAGTACAATTTCTCCGTCACTGGTATTTCACCTTTTCTCCATATTTACACATGCCCTTCCTTTTTATAAACAATATTTCATGGACGCATTAATTTTAGGTTGACCACTTTTAATAGGATATTTTTAATTTTAGGTAATTAATTTACTTCTTTTAGTCGTTAAAATTAATTTTTATTTTATTATTTTATAAGGAACCTAGCAAATTTCATTAACAAAATATCAAAAGTTACAAAGTAAACAGATCACAATTGTCTGCTTTCAGTCCGAGCAAGATTTGCTCGGCGCTGCAATGGACTCTTTTGATGTGTAAAGCCAAAAGCCAAAAGGTTAAGATAGAGAGAAATGTAATCATTTGTTTTTTAAATAGTT